CTATTGTCTGTCCGTCCTGGAAGAGGGATCCCTCCTCAGTTGCTCTTCCTGAGGTTTCTACCGTTTTTTTCCCCGTTAAAGGGTTTTTTGGGGAGTTTTTCCTGATCAGCTGTGAGGGTTATAAGGACAGAGGGATGTCGTATGCTGTAAAGCCCTGTGAGGCAAATTGTGATTTGTGATATTGGGCTTTATAAATAAAATTGATTGATTGATTGAAGAGGAGGAGTGTAGCTGAGGTGTGACTCTCCCTCCACCATAAATCAGTTCGCAGAGTTTTAAAACCTTTGATGTTTGAAAGTTAAAAGTTAAAAACAAAATCCTGGAGTTTAAAATTAAAAAAATCAGTTTCTCACTCTTGCCGTGCAAACGCTTTATTTTTGGCCAAATTTGAAATGAGACGCAGAATAAAGTGATTTTGATGAAATGTCACTATATTAAGTTTCATTTTTTCCTGACAGAAGCGTTTGGTGTTCACGATGTGTTCAAGGACTGTGGGAAATTTGAAAATCCAATAATTCTGTTTTTAGAGTTTCTGCCTGTAATAAATGGTGTCCTTTTGGCGATATTTTTGAAGCAAATGTGCCGTCATATTTGTTCTTTAAAAATCGTCAAACAATTTTGAAGAAAAAAAAAAATGCATTTTTTTTTTTCACTTTTCAACTTTCAAAAAACTTTGCAAAACAAATCTCCAAATCTCCCAAAAAAATTTAAAGAAAGGGGAGCAAGGTGGCTGAATAGGTAGAGCAGGCATCCCATATACAAAGGCAGTTTCCTTGCCTCAGTAGCCGTGGGCTCAGTTCCAGCCTTCCACTGCAAAAAACATTGCTGAAATAAAATGGTTAACCTATAAAACAAAATTATATTTCTACATGAATGATCCAATGGTTAAGTTAATCACACATTCACTCCACTCGGCGCTCTGCTGCTCCGTCTCCACAGACAGAGTGTCCAGAGTGCGCTGCTCTGGATAACCCAACGTCTAACATTAACATTTAAAACATTCAGCAGCATCATATCTGCCCAGAAACAAAGTCTCTGATATGCTGCCTCTTCTCTCCATCTCTCCCCAGTCCTCCTGACCCTTCTCCACTCTGACCTTTGACCTCCACTGCTCTGCCTCCACCCTCAGGTTCTGGTGTCAGAGGGCAGTGAGCCTGTGGATGTGCCGGCACAGCTGTCAGAAATGTTTGAATCACAGCAAGTAGAAATCAGCAGGGAAATTATATAAAGCTGTGACTCTTGGCACATTCCTCTTATTTTCTATCAAATGTTAAAATATCTGAATTTTAATATTTTGTTTTTTATTAAACTGCAGTGGAATAAAAACACACTCTAAGGGTTAGTTTAATGAATGAGCTGAATCTGCAGCTGCCCTCATCTTTATGGAGCTTTATAGTGGGTTTAATTAAGTTCAGTCACCACAGAGGCTGCAGCTCAGAAAACACTGCTATGAATCATTTTTGTGACGTCATCTGTGTCTTTAAGGCGCTGACACACACCCTGTTGTGTTGTTTTGGTTGGAGGCCTTGTGTGCATTATTGTTAACAAGAGACATGTCTGATGGTGTATAGATAAATAAATTTGCATGTTCGATTCTAGCATGTAAACTTAAAATATAAAGGACCTATAATACAACCCTGAGGAACCCCACAAGTACTGACCAGTCCCTCTAGGATTTTGTGGGCTTTTTTGGGGGGTTGTTGCGGCCTGAAATACAACACGCTGTTAAAGATCAAACCAGTGTTATATAACCAGTTTGGCTTGTCACCTCTTACTAAAAAAGTCGGGGACCCTCGTCAGTGGCCAGGAGGTGAACGGGCACCTCTCCAGCTACCAGTCCACTCTCCAAAATGGGTCCAGACTGCTCAAGTCAAGGGCTTGAGCTACATTAAACCCCAAGTACAAGTTCAAGCACATGTTGAGAACACTTACGTACTCGTACTTACTTTTACTTGTATTGAAGTTTTGTCGTAGAATGGAATCCGTACTCAGGAAAAAGATCTGAGTTCTTCCTTTTGATGTTTTGTTCGGTTTTTGTTTTAAGAGGTGTTGATTGAACTTTACGATCATTCTGGAGGATGTTTCTGTTATTAAGCCTCGTCTCATTGATCTGAATGTGGTGGACAAAATAATAGAAACACACGTCATCAGTTTTAGCGACACAATAAACTGGAAACTGTGTTTATGAAGAGAATAAGAGCGACAGCAGTGGAGGAACCTGAGGCAAACAATGACTGACAGTGTGCGTGGTGTGTGTGTTTGTGGCTTACAGTAGGCGGGGCGTTGGGTTGGGGGGTTAATATACATCACAGACATGATTTAAGCCACCAGTCTGTAGAGTTTAGTGAAAGTGATCTTCTACTTGTTTCCTGTTGAACTTTAAATTCTTCTTCTTATTAGTGAATCACTGAATCTAGTTTTTACTGACTGAAGTCAACAGATGGAGCAGACGCTCAGCAGAGGGGTAAGTGTTCATTATCATTAGTAGTAGTGACAATATAGTGAGTAAGAAAGCTGTCACAGAAAAACTGATGTCAACAGACGCAGCCACAGTTCAGGACTGGATCGATATGATCGATGATGTGTTTGTGATGGAAAAACTAACTTTTATTTTACAATTGGAACAAGACAAGTTTAAACATCACTGGACGTCTTGGACTAAATCTGCAGTTACATGTGACTTTAACTGGTCATGAACGATGGAATTAAAACACCACTCCTCGTACACAGGAGCACCTGAACGCAGCTCGACCCCACCTCTCATTTTCTCTCATATCTTTCCTTACATGATGCGACGAGTCACTTGGATATGTGTCGAGGTACAAGAAATAATTTGATTTAAAAAGTGGTCATTATTATCACTGCTTTGTTTTTATTTTCAAATTCATATATTTTATTTGAATTAATTTGTTTATTTCTGCCAACCTTATGTTTTTACCAACAATAGTTTTCCTCTGTAGGTTTATTCTCATTTATTATACCACTAATATAATTTCTGAATAAACATACAACAAATGTTTCAACTTTATTTGATAAAAGACGCAAAAAAACAGAAAACTTTGTAATTATGATGCACCTTAAGACTTGCTCCAACTTTGTTCTAAATAAAATAAAGACAAAAGAAATAAAAATACTGCTTTTTGTTTAAAAACATTGTAAAACAGAAAAAATATTATTTGGTTCCAGTTACATTATGATCATACCTTCTCATCTAAATGGTTTAACTGTAAGTGTTTTATTGTCTCTCGTGGCGTTTGTCTAAAATCTAAAATCGTTGTAACTAAGAAAAGTGTTAAAGTAGTTTGAGTTAATATTAATATTTATATTTAAATTAATATTCTTAATATTCTAATTATGTTATTACAAAATGTCGCCTTTCTTTTTTTCTCCCGAACAAAAACTTCTCAAAATGTTTCAACATGTTTTTGTTTAAAATAAAACTGACATATGACCATAATGACGTCACCTCTGCATTTTAAACACTCCCATGTGTTCTAATGATGAACCTCAACACCATGTTTGTTAATATTAATTATTAATGAATTAGTTCATTACCTTGAATGTGTTGTGCTTGATTTGAATTTTTATACAGAAATTAGAACTTGTACACATTTTACACATCAAGTATTGTGCAGCCTGTGAATGTTGTTAATGTAATAAACTTTATTAATAAATCAGTTAATAAAATAATTAACATAATGAATTTAATGTATCATTACTCTGTAATATACGAGTGTTTCAAAAAAAATTTATTTTGTTACTTTAAATAGATTTTTTTCTAATACTTTTTTTTTCTTCTCTCCTTTAGAGCTGATTTTAATTTGTCTTATTTTATTTATTCTGTAAAGCCCATCAGTGAAATATACTTAGAAAAAAAAAAAACTACATGGTTAGAACTCTGTTTATTAATTCAGTCATTAATTTATTATTTAATAATGTTAAATTTATTTATGACTGACTGATCTTCTGCGACAGTGACAGAAATTAAGTCAAATTATTGATCTGGTTTCAGGAGATCGGACTGAATCAGAATGCTGCAGGTCCAACATGTGGTGGGTAACACAACTGAATACTGATACACTCAACTTCTGACAAACTACACACACACACACACACACACATACACACATACAGTACAGGCCAAAAGTTTGGACACACCTTCTCATTCAACACGTTTTCTTTATTTTCATGACTATTTACATTGTAGATTCTCACTGAAGGCATCAAAACTATGAATGAACACATGTGGAGTTATGTACTTAACAAAAAAAGGTGAAATAACTGAAAACATGTTTTATATTCTAGTTTCTTCAAAATAGCCACCCTTTGCTCTGATTACTGCTTTGCACACTCTTGGCATTCTCTCCATGAGCTTCAAGAGGTAGTCACCTGAAATGGTTTCCACTTCACAGGTGTGCCTTATCAGGGTTAATTAGAGGAATTTCTTGCTTAATCAATGGGGTTGGGACCATCAGTTGTGTTGTGCAGAAGTCAGGTTAATACACAGCCGACAGCCCTATTGGACAACTGTTAAAATTCATATTATGGCAAGAACCAATCAGCTAACTAAAGAAAAACCAGTGGCCATCATTACTTTAAGAAATGAAGGTCAGTCAGTCAGGAAAATTGCAAAAACTTTAAATGTGTCCCCAAGTGGAGTCGCAAAAACCATCAAGCGCTACAACGAAACTGGCACACATGAGGACCGACCCAGGAAAGGAAGACCAAGAGTCACCTCTGCTTCTGAGGATAAGTTCATCCGAGTCACCAGCCTCAGAAATGGCAAGTTAACAGCAGCTCAGATCAGAGACCAGATGAATGCCACACAGAGTTCTAGCAGCAGACCCATCTCTAGAACAACTGTTAAGAGGAGACTGCGCCAATCAGGCCTTCATGGTCAAATAGCTGCTAGGAAACCACTGCTAAGGAGAGGCAACAAGCAGAAGAGATTTGTTTGGGCCAAGAAACACAAGGAATGGACATTAGACCAGTGGAAATCTGTGCTTTGGTCTGATGAGTCCAAATTTGAGATCTTTGGTTCCAACCGCCGTGTCTTTGTGAGACGCAGAAAAGGTGAACGGATGGATTCCACATGCCTGGTTCCCACTGTGAAGCATGGAGGAGGAGGTGTGATGGTGTGGGGGTGTTTTGCTGGTGACACTGTTGGGGATTTATTCAAAATTGAAGGCACACTGAACCAGCATGGCTACCACAGCATCCTGCAGCGACATGCCATCCCATCCGGTTTGCGTTTAGTTGGACCATCATTTATTTTTCAACAGGACAATGACCCCAAACACACCTCCAGGCTGTGTAAGGGCTATTTGACCAAGAAGGAGAGTGATGGAGTGCTGCGGCAGATGACCTGGCCTCCACAGTCACCGGACCTGAACCCAATCCAGATGGTTTGGGGTGAGCTGGACCGCAGAGTGAAGGCAAAGGGGCCAACAAGTGCTAAACACCTCTGGGAACTCCTTCAAGACTGTTGGAAAACCATTTCAGGTGACTACCTCTTGAAGCTCATGGAGAGAATGCCAAGAGTGTGCAAAGCAGTAATCAGAGCAAAGGGTGGCTATTTTGAAGAAACTAGAATATAAAACATGTTTTCAGTTATTTCACCTTTTTTTGTTAAGTACATAACTCCACATGTGTTCATTCATAGTTTTGATGCCTTCAGTGAGAATCTACAATGTAAATAGTCATGAAAATAAAGAAAACGCATTGAATGAAAAGGTGTGTCCAAACTTTTGGACTGTACTGTATATATATAGTTACATATCTCTTGGTCATGTTTCAGGTAAACTTCAGGTGTCTGACTGGTGTCCACCTCCACAGCAGTACCTGAATCTGACCAGCGGGGGGCGAAACATCACGTCACACACTCAGACTGCTGCTGCTGTGAGTTGATGACTGAGTGTGTGTGTGTGTGTGTGTGTGTGTGTGTGTGTGTGTGTGGTCAAATGATCCCTTCAAGCCAATACGTTCCCCTTCTGACACAATCAGTGTTAAAACCCAGAGAGTCTGAGGGGAGCACGACCTGCAGGCTGTGTGTGTGTGTGTGTGTGTGTGTGTGCGTGTGTGTGTGTGTAATTTTGCCCTCTTGTCAGTGTGTTCACCATCCAACACTGTAGGAGTGAAAGAAGCTGAGAGCACAAACAGATGCTACGAGCTGCTGTCACTTCCTGTTCACATCAAGTATTTTTACTACAACTCCCATCAGTCACTGCTTCTGTTCCTAATACTATGAAGACACGTAACAACAATGTGTTTATTCTAAGTACATGTTTAAAGGTGTCCTGTTGGACTGTCTCTGTCCTCGTAGTCTCTCTGCAGTCGTCCGTCCATCCTCTCGTCCCTCTCCTCCTCTACAGCGACAGACACTTCCCTCCTTCCTCCCCGTACAGCCAGCCAATCAGCACATCTGCTGCCCCACAGGCCGACGCCCGCTCCAGGACATATCCCTGTCACCATGGCAACGGTGTCACCAGGTGAGGTTGCGGAGTTTTCAGGTAAATCTGAATGTTTCAAAAATATCTAATAACATTAAACTTACGTCTGACACTGTGCAGGGAGAGTCAGTCCTGACACTGCAAACTGTATCTGACTCGGTACCTCTGCGTGTCTCTGGTCCTCAGCAGCAGACAGGTGGTGAAGAAGCCTCTGAAAGCCTTCATGCTCTACATGAAGGAGACGAGACACAAAGTTCTGCAGGAGGGACGAGAGAGAGAAAGCGCCGCCATCAACCGCATCCTGGGACGCAGGGTGAGCTCCGCCCAGCTAATATCTCAGCTTCTGCTACGACTACTTCGGGACTAAAATTTGGAATGTCTGAGCTTCTCTGATTTAATTCTGACTGTTCCTTTTTAAATAGAAGTAAAATATTAATGACGGGTGTTTGTGAAGGACAGAAGGAGAAACTGCATCAGAGTGTAACTAATCTCCAGCCTGTGTGTTTCAGTGGAACGCTCTGTCTCGCTCTGAACAGTCCAAATATTACGAGCTGGCCCAGAAGGAGAGACTGCTCCACATGCAGCTTTACCCTGGATGGTCCGCCAGAGACAACTACGTACGTACTGTACTGTATACCCATCACGTATACTGTGTGTGTGCTTCAGAAAGCTTCAGTCTCTTCTTCTTCTTCTCTGCAGGGTAAAAGAAAGAGGAAGCGGAGCCAGCAGTCAACAGGAAGCTGCCTCAGGTCGGGTTAAAGGTCAAGAAAATAAACTTGTTTTTATCTGTAAACTCTGTGATGCACACTCTGCTCAGCCAAAGACAAACACAGGAATACTACCACTGCTACTGTCACTAACTACCAATACTGTAACAAGTGCGACCATTTTGTCTTCTACAACCACTTCACTGTAACAATCAGTACTGCCTCTGCCACTGAGTACAAGTAGCAGAAAAGGAAAATACTCAAGTTACATTAAATACAAGTACCTCATCATCACTGCTGATCAAAGTGCAGCTGTGTCGTCTCAGCCGAGAATAAAACGTATCTCTTTTTCCTGCAGCTGGACTCTGAGCGCTGGATGAGAACTCTGAAGACACAACATGTGACTCACCGCTGTCGTGTGACGTGAAATTTAGCGAAGATGCTGCTAAACAAGTTGATCCAGACTGTGTCATTGTTTATTTGGGTTGCTCTGAAATTATGAGCAATTACGAGCAACCCTGGCAACTTTTTTTTTGTTTTGTTCATACTGTATGTCGGTGCTGTCGGGCCAGTGTGTAGTTTGTCTGTTTGTACATAGTTGTTAGTAGTAAGTTAAAAAAAAACGACCCTTACGTTTCTTGTTGATTAAATTAATTCTGTATTAAGTTATTGTTCTTTAAGGGTTTGATTCATTTTTAACAGGACGTGTATCTGATGTGAGAGACTTTGTGTTTGTTGCCTAAAAAAAGAAAAGACTTCCGACACGACATCAACACTGAAAATAAATCTTTTATTATCAAAGCAACCGTCTGATTGTGACATTTTCTTCAGGTCAACTTTTTAATGAACTTTTAATAAACATGGAACATCAGGAAACACTCATCAGCAACTTTTATGGAACTTTATGGAACATTGATCTTCATTAATCCGACTTTAATTCAGCAGCAGTTTCAGGGAGTTTTGGTGGAAGATGTTTCACGGATTCATTTCACACAAAAAAATAAAATAAAGAAAGACGTAAAATTACGACCACAGTTAAAAAAATGTGTTGCATATTGACTTGAAAACATCAATAACTGAGCACAGAAAGAAATTTACAATACTCATTAAATATAACCATGACCTCATTGATGAGGACCCAACTGAAGTTAGCGTTTTCAATGTTAACTTGAGCTACTAGACGTTAGCTAGCAACTGTCCGGCTAATGTTGCCTTTACGTGGAACTCGTGAGTTCGTGGTTATGAGCGAAGTGGGAAGTCGTGTACACAAATTACTTGGCATTTAAGAGACTGAGTTGTGAGAATACTGCAGCTAGGCATCAGCAACATGGATGCCACCAAGGCTAACAATTTAGCGAGCGGGTAACGTAATGCAGGAAACGTAAAGGCGTAATGACGGAGGCAAACGATGAGGCCGCTAGAAATACCAGCGTGTCCTCAGACAAGTTATAAAGTTACAAAGAACTCTATACAACTAAAATCACAAAACATTAACTTAATGTCCTCCAAAAAATTAAACTTCAGTGGCCTCCGCCGTCTGAAAATGTCAGCATACTTGGAGCTTTAAGAAAATTTCCGCTAAGGAGGTCGTCAGTACCGCAGTGCGGAGCGCTCAGACGGACTCGTTAACACTGTAAACATGACCCCATCTGAAGGCAGCATATCTCACAAACTGCGCTCTCAAAATTTTTAATATCAATACCTATAAAACATTTTGTCGGGACATTTACCTTTCATGGATGCAAACTTTTTTTTTTCGTGGTTAGCATGTGGCTAACTGCACCCAGTTTAGTCAGTGATCACTCTCAAGACTAGAGTTTGCTCTGATAAGTTGTTAGCAATTTAGCTTGTGTCCTAAACCTTTGGCTAGCTTACAAGCCGAACAGTCAGAAAGTTAAAATTTACACATGCAGTCTCATTTTTCTTTGTTACGAGATCGTACATTTAACTTTTACGGAATGTCATATCTTAAAAAGTTTTTTTTGGTTGTAATGCAACAAAAGCGTTGCTAACTGAAGCCGATTCAATGACACAAACCTTCACTTCCAAAACATTGAAGACCCAACTAACGTTAGTCTTTAGAAGATTAAGTAGCGATCAGTTTAGCTTTGGTCAAACATCTTTGCAAAATACAAAGTTTAGCCAAATTGGCCTTTAAAAATCTTCTTTTTTTTTGGCACTGGCATTGAAATCCAGGTTGTTTCTGCACTAGTATCAATATTTTTATTTTTTTTGTTGCGATATCTAGACCTAATCCGAAGACAAGAAAACGAAGATAAAACTACTAATTTCCTGTTTTCTTTTCACTCTAATGAGGACCGAACAGAAGTTAGCACTTAGGATATTACGATGCTAGTTAGTAGAAGCTAGCCAGCAAAGCACACAGTGGTTAACTACTAATCTCACTCTAAACAAAGTCAATAACAATTAATGTAATGTTCCAACTCTCTAGCTAGCTTATGAACCAGACCAGACAGAAATATTTTCACTATTTCAACATGTAGTCTAATTTTTCTTTGCTAGGAGATCTAACAGTTGTTGTTCGTGGATATTTTGGATGTTTTTAGTTCGGTTACATTACTGTTAAAACAACTGTTTATGATAATGCGCTAAAGTGTAGCTAACTGCACCCAATTCAGTGACACAAGCGTTCACTTCCAAAATAATTTAGCCCCAACTGACGTTAGTCTTAAGAAGATTAGTGAGCAGTTTAGCTTTGGTCAAACATTTTAGCTAATTTATAAACCAAAAATAAATAATCGACTGCCACAGAAATAAGTCATAAAACCCGGAAATGAGTTAGCATGTTAGCATGTTAGCACTCACTGTTCCCTCGTCTCAAAGTCAGTGTGTTTTTGGTTACGTGTCTGAAATAAGGTCTGTGGTTAACACAAGCTTGTTCTACGACACAAAACACGTCCGTAAATACGCCACTGTGAATTTAGAAGCTTTTATGTGTCTTAAAAAAAGTGGCTCAATGAGACTACAGAACGTCATCACAACAATTGGCTTCTTGTGTCAAATAAAAAACATAAAAGTATCTTTTCTTTTTTGGTGCTGGCACTGAAATTCAGGGTTGGTCTTCATATTAGTATCAGACATTTTTGGGTGAGAAAACAATGAGATAACTCTTCATTTTCTGCTGTTTTGCTGCCCAAACTTCTTCATGTTAGCACGTTAGCATTCTGCAGGACACGCTGAAACAGTCAAAAAAGTAAACCAGAGTTTTATCACCATGTTTTATTCTGTTTCTGCAAAACTGGAAGTTCTCCTGGGAGATATTCTGCCGTGAATCAGGATGATTCGGCTCTAATCTGCCTCCTAGTGGAAATATTTCTTAATACAGGCAGGTGTGTGAATGATAACACTGGTGTCACAGCTGCTTGTCCACACAGACGCACTCCCAGACGGTTTCTAGGTTGGTAGTTTAGTTATACTGGCACGTTTGGAAACTTTTATGGCACCTAGAACCTTAAATTAGATCAAACAGTGTTTGTCGTGAATGGATCAAAAATAATGTGCTGCAGACACAAAGAAGCACGGCGAGGAAACATCCAGTGAAAGCCAGAATAAAACTGTATCATGAAGTGTTTTTACTGGAACACTCAAACACTTTAACGCACTACAAACATCGACATCATGTCAGTGAAAACGCCGAAGCCTCGCCTCGCCTCGCCTCGTAACCTGCTGCGAACAACTCAAGAAAACCCAACAGTGTTTACACCTCCCAGCAACAAAACAGAAAAATCAAGTAGCAGAGAAATCTGATGTTTCCAAAGATCTGATGGAGGACGGCAATTAAGAAGCATCCGGCAGTGAAACTAACTGTCAAACGTCTTGTGACTTTAAGACGACAGTTGTTTTACTTCTTCATACCTACTCTGTATGTTCACCCACCTGTGTCTGAACTTGTCGGTTTAGTTTCTGGAGGAAGATGAACTGCATCGTTACAGATTTGGGGATTAAACGCGCTGATAATAAATACCAGGCGCTGACGACAATGTAAACGTGATGTCCTCCTGTCAGCGTCTTCCTCTGTACGCAGGAGAGAGCAGGAAATACTGCCTCTAATAAATAAACCCATGTTAAACGTCCTCTCATCCAGGAGTCAGGATGGATGCTGTTTCAGCTCAGGTTGATTGTCTTCCCTCCCCCGACCTCCGTCCTCCCCTACCTGTCCTCACTCGTCCCTGCCACCCTCCACTATCCTGTACCGCTGTCTGCAGGAGGACGGCAGCGCCACCGGCCACGCGAACACGATGGGAACCGTCGTCTGAACGTTCTTCTCCAGGAAGTTAAAGATGGGGTTCCACCACGTCCTCGACAGGTAGTTGTTCGGAGCCTGACGCAGCGCCTGAACAGAAACACACACATTTATAGAACTGCTGTAAGTTTAAACAGAAAAGTTAAATACTGAGTGTGTGTGTGTGTGTAAGCGAGTGTGTGCACCTACATGTGTGTTGGCCAGGGTGTGGTACCACCAGAAGATCCTGGTGGTGGCGAAGTATCCGATCACCACGTCGATGCTGTAGTGCTCGTGAGCGATGAGGATGCAGATGACTCCTGAGGCGCTGAGCAACCAGCAGAACCAGTGATACCACCACATCCACCGAGGAGAGTCTGGACACACAGAACACACACATTAATGTAGCCCCTGTAGTGTTTAAGCTTATTTCTATCATCTCTATTAAATCCTATTTTATTTTGCTTTGTGTTTCCTCTGTGTCTAACACCTGATGTACAGCACGCTGGTTGGTGAAAGGTGGCGTATAGTTGAAAAAAAAGAAAAAAAAAAAAGAAGATGTGACGAGAATGAAGATAAAATTTTATGAGAAAAAGTCACATTACAAATGACAAGATATATATTTACACACACTATATATATGTGTGGATAGGTGTGTGTGTGTGTGTGTGTGTGTTATTCTAATATTATTGACAGAATCTCAGAATTTTTTTTATTTATCAGATTTTCAATTGTCAAAACAGATTCAGAGAAAAAAAAACTGAAATGTTGAACTTAACGATAAATATTTTTAGTTGTTTTCCTGTTTTGTGAGTTTGAAATGTCTTAATAATTAATAATCAATGTGGTATTCATCAATCAAACGCTGTAACTGAACCAATAATTCCAGTTATCAAAAATAAATCAGCAGCAGTGAGCGACAAACTGAAACAGACGGAGATGAGAAGTGTGTGTACTCACACTCTTTGATGAAGAGATAGGACAGTGTGCACATGACAGTGTGACCGCTGTACAGGAAGTCACCACACATCAGGTGAGATCCGGTCAGAGACAAACCTGAGCGCCACAAACAAACAAACAAACAAACAAAGACAGTGAGCTGGAAGTTCAGTTAAAACCAAAAAAAAAAAAACAACAAACGTTTTTCTGTATTTCCCACCAACATGTCTTAGTTTTAAGAAAGTTAACTAGCAGAGGAGGAGGTCGCTGTGGTGTGACTTCATTTTAAAACATTTTATCTTGAAATCTTGAAATGAAATATTTCTACTTTAAACAGTAGCCCTTTTAAACAGGAGTTGTGCAAATTTGCAGGAAAGCCCAATCAGTCTTTTTTCAGCATTGGCAGTATAAAAACAAAATCAGGGAGTGCAACAAAATGCCGCCTACCTACTTTTGTTTATACAGAATGAGCCTTTTTCGGGGCAATGGGGGGCGTGAGCAAGTAACAAAACGTGTAGCTCAGCGTGTGACGTAAACAGTGACGTGGGAGGGAAGCAGCGGCTGGTCAGTCCTTCGGTGATTCTCTCATAAGTCGGCCCGTTCTTCACCGTCCCCGTCATCTGACGGTTAATGGCCTCTTCGTTTGCGAGGACAAGGAGGGCGCACAATTCCTTGTCTCCCCAGTTGCTCATCTTTACAGTGTCTGTCAGGTTTGTGTTTCCCTCTTGCTACTAGCTGCTCGCTAATTCCTGCTATCAGCTGTTTCCTGTTTATCCACCGCCAGTGGCTCGCACGTGCGGCGTCATCAACAGCTCCTCCCACAAGTCATCAACAGCTCCACCTACAAGTCATCAACAGCTCCTCCCACAAGTCATCAACAGCCCCTCCCGTTGCAGAAGGCCGCCTCAGTCTGTTTAAACTAAAAAAGGGTGCCACCAATATGTCTACCCTACGAGGAGGAAAATTGGGCACCTCGGATCAACTCGCCAATCCGGCTCTGTGTGTCTAAATGCTCGCAGCTTGCCGGCAAAATGGCCCAACATTCACTGAAGATCTGGCAGTGTGAAAGGGGCTATAGATTTAGTTGTTTCCTGACAGAAGCACTCACGACACATGATGTGTTCAAGGACTGTTGACATGTGGTTATCCAACAATAATTTCTGTTTTTATAGTTGCTAGTTGTGAGAAGTGGCTTTTTTTTTTTTTAACAACATGCTGTTCAAACCTGTCCGCAGTTTCCGGGGTTCAAAAGGTTTTTAAAATAGATACAAAATACAAAAAAATGCTAATAAACAAAAAAAACAAGTGCTTAAAAAAATATGATGTGCCTACATGAAGTTTCTATCTGTCGCAGTGACAAAAATATAAACTGATCATCAAATATAATCCATTCAGATACATTTAAGTTTGTGATTTACAGGAAGCTTAACCATCAAATAACATTAATGTCAGTGGAGTCAAAAAACAAAGTGGCAGCTACTGAGATCTGTTAGCTTTTGCTAGGCTAGATACTTTTATGCTAAGCTAGCTACATTTAGCAGATGTTTAGCTGTTTTTTTTTCCTTTCCCCCATCATGAGTTGATTTAATAAGAGAAACAAACTGTCATCAGAGTGGATTATTTTTAATTTAATAACACTAAACTGAACTTTAGCGTTAGCTTCAGGTTAGCCGCAACTTAGCCGCAGCTATCTCAAAAGCTAGCTGTCACTTGATCTCACTTTATCCATTCGCTTAGCAGCCAAACTTCACACACTGTGTTTCTGGTTATTAATGAATATTTCTATTTACTGACAACAAATAATAAAACATTATATTTCCAACATTAAGGTCTATATTTTGTTTTTAAATGCCGCGTGAAGAAATACTAAATCTTTTTTTTCTCGTCAAATTTAAATACACTGAGTCTAAAATATAATTTCACACACACCACATGTACATTTTTATTTTGCGGACATAGCTGTGTTTAGCCGCAGTGTCCTCACTGATCCTGACAGCCAATCAGAGAGCTGTTGCATTAATGCTATAAAACATTGTGTGTTACCTCCTCCTGAGATCAGCCTCAAAATCCTCCAGATTTTCCCCGTGGAGTCGTTGTACAGCTGCACAAAGACGACCACACATTTACTGGTGATGTAATACAACAGGTAAACGTGCAGTAACTGTGAGGACACAGTGTGTATCGTACCTTCGGAGCGCAGACCATGTGTTTTCCAGGCACTGGCAGGGTGGTGATGTACATGGTGACGCAGCGATACATGTAGAGCGTCCCGATGAGGAAGAAACAGCGGCGGCCCACGATGGCTCTGCACAGACACAGCACTTACTTCAGTTAGAATTTTAGTCATTGGTGCATTAATGTGTTCATCAGTTTCATGCTGCAGCAGGTGGAGTTCATTTTAATGACTTCATAAACTGCAGAACAGATTCATCTATAGTAACATATTTGTTGTTATGCTTTCTGTAAATATTCTGAATCTGTAAAGTAACTAACGTTTGTAATAAATGAGATGCAGTAAACATGTTGGCTTCATATGGAAACACAAGCAGTTGCTACAGTAGATCTACACTTTGCTGGAGAAGCGTTGATAAATCCAACAGGCTAAGCAGCACAAACAGAGCTCGGGAGTTGTTGTGATGGTCGACTTTCTCGCACATGCCTCGTAACTGGAACCGTAATGAGCATGTGCGAAAAGTTTTCAGAGGGACTGCATATTGAAAGTTTACATGACAACGGAGACGGTGCTGTTTCCAAAAAAACTGCAACCCGTTTGGAACCGGTTTTAAAATGCTGCTTTTTTTCAGGCCCCAAAATGCTGCTGTCGAGTAAACGCTCAGCCAAAACACAACTTAAATTTACCACTTTCGGTTGAACACGCTGTATAAACGAGACCTTAGAACAATAAAAACATGGTAACATTGTCGAGGTTGGAAAATACCTAAGTTTCCCTTTAAGGATTTGCTTTTCTTATGATTAAATCCCTAAATTTCTCTTTTGATACGATACTAAATATAATATTTGGCGGCTGGTTGGACAAAGAAAGTTCTTTAAAGGCATCGTCTTGGTCTTTACTGTTTGCTGACCTCCAACAGACTTCACAATAACTTCTGATTGATAGAAATAAAATCAATAATGGATTAAATGTAGTCGCAGCCCAACAATAACCCATGACTGTCGCTTCATGATTCCAACCTCCGGACCTGAAAACTCTTTCTAAACAGACCTCAGCTTTCTGTCGTCCCTAAACCACCCTGTACTGCGAGTTCTTCTTCTGGTACTACAAACATGGCAGCTGCAGATCATACTTGTGTTTGAGGAAGATCCACTGGACGAGCCAGAGTCCGACCAGGATCAGCCCGTTGACCTCGGTGACGGTGAAGGCCCAGGGAACTCGGTCCACGTAGTCGAAGAACTTGTCAGGCAGCGGCGGGCTCACCGATTTGTCCGGCACCCGCTCGTGGACAATGGTGATGACGACGGTGGTGAAGACGAGGTTGAACAGGGCGTAGAGGAACGCCACGCCTGTCTTCCACCACTCCTTGGGGAGGCGGTTGGCGCGCTCCTCGGGCACGGTGATCTTGACGTAGTCGCAGTGTCGCCTCAGTCCGCTGCTCAAGGAGTGGATCAGCTGGTTCTGTTTCAACAGGCTGCTCAGTTTGCTGCACTCCTGCTTCTTCTTGCCGTCGTGGGCGTCGGTGGCGTTTGGTGCTAAGGAGGCGTGGCGGGGCGGGTTACCGTTGGCAACCCTCGGAGGTGTGTTAGGATCTGTTGCGGTCACGTTAGCTTCCACATGGGGGCGGATGTCGTCATCGCCCTGGATCAGTTCTGATGCTGCCATCGGTCGGTTGGCTGGATCCTCTGGCCAATAAGGAGGAGTTTCTCTGATTCACCAACCAATCACAGGCTTTGTAATGAGTCAGCTGACCAATAAAAATGAGCTGAACTAGACGACCAAAGCTACAGTGTCTCTAGAGGTTTGAGTTTCATAAATACTCCTTCACGAGGTGTCGACTGCTCTGACTCAGCGATCAATAACAGGAGTCAGTTTTCCAGCAGCAGAGTCTCGTTGGTCAGGCAGTGATCATAAGTCCAGGATCACTGATTGGCAGATCAATGACCTGATCAATATGAGGAGGTACACTGGTGAGGTCACACAGAAGGGAGGTGATTGGTCGTTCACGGGGATTCAGCACAAACCTGAAAAAACAACAGATACACTTTTACTTCTCAGCAAACAAGTCACAATATATTTAGATTGTTTTCTTGTTGTTGACTTTTTATTTTCTTGTTTTTGACTTTTTGTTTCTGACTTTTTATTTTCTTGTTTTTGACTTTTTGTTTCTGATGTTTTTGTTTTTGACTTTTGTTTGACTTTTTTTCTTGTTTTTGACTTTTTGTTTCTTTTTATTTTCTTGTTTCTGACTTTTTTATTTTTGACTTTTTATTTTCTTGTTTTTGACTTTTTGTTTCTGACTTTTTGTTTCTGACTTTTTTGTTTTTGATTTTTGACTTTTTATTTTCTTGTTTTTGACTTCCTTGTCTTTGACTTTTTTTCTTGTTTTTGACTTTTTTTCTTGTCTTTGACTTTTTGTTTTGTTTTTGACTTTTTGTTTCTGACTTTTTATTTTCTTGTTTCTGACTTTTTTATTTTTGACTTTTTATTTTCTTGTTTTTGACTTTTTGTTCCTGACTTTTTTGTTTTTGAGTTTTTATTTTCTTGTTTTTTGAGTTTTTATTTTCTTGTTTGACTTTTTGTTTTCTTGTGTTTGACATTTTTGGTTTTGACTTTATTTTCTTGTTTTTGACTTTTTATTTTCTTGTTTTTGACTTTTTTTATTTTACTTTTCTTCTTTCTTTCTTCTTGATCCAACCTGACTCAGTCACTCTGTAACCTGGTTCTGTAAATTGCTGCATTTTCAGCAGCAGCAATTTTGTTTTCATCGTATTCATCTGTCACTAAAATTAACAAATTCACAATGAAGTTTTGAACTGAGCGACGGCTGCAACCCAGACTGCTGAACTCTGCTGCTGCAGCTGTGTGCAGGAATTTCCTTTATCTCTGCAGCTGATCGAGTTCAGGCAGGTTAGTGACCTGCTTCACACACACACACACACACACACACAAAACTTGACTGTTTGACTGTAAGTAACCTGAGGGAGGCACTCCCTATAAAACAGACACACCCACCAACACACACACACACACACACACACACACACATCCTGTTAATGTGACAGCGGCTGACACACACGTGACTTCTGAGCAGAAACAAGTCAGAACAGGAAGCTGAATGTGTTCTCACCATCAGCTGATCTGACAATATGTGACTGACCTGAATTGAGTTTCCCCTCAGAGGGATTAATTAAGTATATAAAATAAAATAAATAAATAATTTACCCTTAAAAACAAAAAGACTCTTGACTCTTTTTCCTCTGCAAACAGACCAGAGCAGAGGACGTGTCTCTGCAGCTGAATATACTGTGCTGTGTCACAATCAGTGTCACAGACCCGTTCCTTAGCGTCCCCATGTTTGGTCCCCCCTCTGTTGGGGTACCTAGCACACAGATCTGGTACTAAAAGGTGGAGCTAGAAACCCTGCAGTCTGATTGGTCAGTAGAGGACGCTCACTCTGGTTTTATGTAACCTCTGTTCATACATCAGTAAACTACAACTATAAAATGAAAGAGAAAAAAATAACTTCATTCACTGGGCCGACTGCCGGCAACTTTTAAGGTGGAACGTTAACTTGTAATGTTACTCAATGCATGAGTTGATGACGTGAATCCATCAGCACACCTTAAATTTCACTGTGACAACTTTGACCATCACTTTAGTTTTTATATGACACACACTTTTAGTAATGACTTTAAAAATATAGATAAATTTGGAGCGGATTATGTGAAGGTCATATATTCTAATCCTCACTTCCTGTGGGCTACAGCAACACTAAACCCCTGAGCTTGCCTGAGAAGGACTAAATGCACAAAGCTGCTATTTTTAAATATCCCATGGAGAGAGACTCTCACTGCAGCCTGTTCTATTTTGTTGTGAAAATGTGGGCGTGCAGCCTCGTTCTGTGGACGATAAACCAGGTGCAGACTTCCATCTGTGTCACCGCTGATGAGGAAATACAGCGAGTGCTGGACGGAGCAGTGAGTGACAACAACCCCGCCCACATTTAAGAGGACTGTCTGAACACACCGAGGGTCTAGGTACCATGTCTGAAGGCTTACTGCTGGTTCCAAAGGTGCTGGACTGAAAGGGTTTGGCAATTCTTTTTTACGGAAACCTTAACGAGGACAAAAGGAAAATGTTGAAACACATAATTGAAACCACAAAATATCTCCATACTGCTCGTCTGTAGTGATCCAAGTGTCCTGAAGCCCCGACATAAAAAGTTGTCATTTGAACTCTGTTTTTAGCCTCATATGGGTGAGTAGATAATGGCTGAATATTCAGTCTTTAACTTGAGGTGTTTGTGAAACTGTCCCTTGGTCTCTTACTGAGACTCAAACGGTGGAGTAAAACCTTCCTGACGGCGTCGATGATGCGTTCAGTGTGTAAACGGAGTTAAACTGTGAGTCAGTGTGAGTCTCTCCCTCCTGTGAAATACCTCCTCCGCCTGCTGCCTCCCAACAACATTTCACACACTGTCCACATGTGTGTGTGTTAAACCTCCTGCACAAACACACACGCACACGTTTTAAAATCACTTTCTGTTCATCACGGAAACAACCTGCAGCTACAAACTCGTCGGGCAGGATGATTCTGACGAATGAGAACAATCTGTCTTATAATTAAACTCCATCACTCACATAGTGCAAACGCATTTTAAAGACAGAAATCTTTCTGCTCTGATTCAGTTTGCAGCTGCGGCCATTAATCCATTAGTCGTCAATAGAGGTGCATGATATTGGATTTCTGCTGATATCTGATATGCTGATATATAACAACTTACTTGGCTGATAACCAACATCGATATATATCAGCTTTTCCCACCTAACTTTAGTGATCATCAAGTCTCTTCTGTAGATAACAAAAATCACGTTGGCCGATTCTGAGAGTTCATGACGTTAAGGCCCTAAAATCTTTTTATTTTCATTTCAGCAGCAGCAGGTGACATTTTATTAACGTCAGAACTTGGACTCACTGATCCATTGATTATCAGATTAGCAGCTGACAACAAATCAATTAATGTCTGCAGCTTCATCACAGTGTCAAAGCTGCATTTCTCTGTCGACTGTCCTCTGCCTGCCTCTGATGTCACATCCTGTTTACCACCAAACACAATAACTGAAACATTAAGTGTAACGAGGTTAAGACCATGTGGATCACATTTCCCCCAAATTAGAGCTGATTCACCAGCACAGGACAGACGGGACGGGGAGTTACAGAGAGTTACAGAGCTGCAGCCAACAGACTCTTCCTTCTGTCCGACCGAGAGTTAAAGTAAAATAACCGTCTTCATCATCAGCCCCAAACTCAAAGATATTATATTTAAAAATGTCATTTGTGTTGTCGCTTGCTAAACATGATGTGCTGTTAAAATGGTAGCTGTTATGAACTGCATAATATTAAATTATTTCATTTTATTGTTTTGCACTGAACTATTTAAGTATTTATTTTCTGTGAGAGGCTGAGACTTTATTTACATGAATTTGTTGATGAATACATGATATTCTTATTTCTATTTGCAGAGAGAAATAACTTCTAAATTCTAAAATGATTTAAAAGGGTTTGTAGTTTGAAGTGGCCAACATTTGGGCTTTTTGCCTGATAAGTAATAAATCTATAATCCCAGTATCAATCAGTCATCAATAGCTGCTGATTGACTCGACTGACTGTGTCAGCAATTAATAAAAGTACTGAAAATAAACTTCTTTATAACATGACATATTCACCAGAGGAGTACATGGCTCCTTTAAGGACCAATGAAGAACAACTTTGATTGATTGTAAGTAATCGATTGATTAACTGGCTAATCACTTTATACAAAGTAACAACAGAAGGTAATAAATTCAAATTTTAAATGCGACTCTTCACACGTAAGATGCAGTGATGGAAGGTTACACAGTATATTTACTCGAGTACTGCACTTCAGTAGAGGAGAATACTTTATTGATCCGTGAGGGAAACGGTGAAGAAGTTTAATAAAGTTATCGTCATTTAAAAACCGTCTGAAAAGATAAATAACACGTCATTAACTCATCTGTGATGTTTTTCTGCTTGTAAATAAAAACCTTTTTGGAATCTGCACATTTTGATTAATTTTGTATTTCTGATCGTTTTTAAACTGTGGACCCACCAAACCGACATCTAAGAACTAGCGGCAACGAAAGCCAACTGTTGCATCGTCTACGTCGCCTCACGTCGCCCTGTGTCAGTTGCATTTGAACACACTACACGGACTACATCCGACGGCCAAGTAGCACGTACGTTCTGCGCCTGCGTGAGAGAGAGCGGAGTGAGAGAGTGGTACATCCTGTCAGCCGAGGGGTTTCCTATCTGTGCAGCCGAGCACCGCAGCACCTCCACGGACTATTACATCCAGACGGTCCCGGTGTTTCCTCCGCAGGCTCCACTTCACTCAGCTGCCCGAAAAACCCGCTGCTTCTTCCCACTTTAACCTGAATAACAAACCAGGGCTCGGTGCTCCGGTTGGATCCAAACGGAGAGCCGGGGCTAGCTCAGAGACTAGTGGAGGCTAACTGGCTGTGCTTCCCTCCGGTCATGCTGCGGCTAACGCTCCGCTAGCCGCTCCCAGCTAGCCCCGGTTTGTTATTCAGGTTAAAGTGTGAAGAAGCAGCGGGTCTGTGGGGCAGCTGAGTGAAGTGGAGCCTGAGGAGGAAGCACCGGTTAGCCCCGGTTTCACTACAGGCAGATTCACTCGCTACAGGGGCGAGGAAATAAAACCTGAACAGCCAATCAGAGTGATCTCTCTCACCGACAAGCTCCGACGCCGATTCAACATGCTCAATCGGCCGAAAAGCCGCCGACGCCAAAGTGCCGACGGTGCAGGACACACCGCAAAAACTAGGCCGACAGACGCTCATCGACGGCCCGACTTTGGTCGACGGCCGACGGTCAGCTTGGTGTGTCAGGACCTTCAGTGAGCTGCTGTTGGCCTCTCTCCTCTCCTGCACAATGTTTTAACCTGTTAAATCCGTACTGTAATTTACTTTATACACCTGCATGTGCAAGAGAATAAAGTAATATAAAGTATGTGAAGATATAAATATCTGCTTTATGCTCCCATGTTTAACACTGATTCGTAAAACATTTAAAAAAGGGTATTATGCTCCGATGTTTGACACTCATGCGTTGTTAAAATTTTTAAAAAGCATATTTTTCTTATTGTTCTTTATATCTGTATTTATATTTATATTTATAGTGACCACATACTTTTACTCCACTACAGTTTTTAGTGAATTATTTATCTTTAAAGTGCTCAACAATTATTAGATAAACTTAGTTTCTGCGGGTTCAGATATGTTTACTGATACAAAACACTATTACACCTAAAATATGATAATAATCAATACTTATCAATATAGATTAGACCAGTGTATAAAGACATTAAAATGAGCTCCATCTTCACCAGCTGTAATATCAGAGTGATGAACACAGTGATAATCATAATACAATAATATTTATTATTCTGCATAATAACTTTTTACTTTCATTACTTTTAGTAACTTTAGTTCTAACACTACTGATCTGTGCTTTTACCTGACAGCAGGACTGTATGATGTAACAGATTACTTCTGCACTGTGGTACGGTTACTGTTACTCCTGTACTTGTACTCAGAAGCTGCAGTAAATGTTTCTGCGCCATTTTCCACCTAATAAATCGATTAATCGACACACGCCTGCTCAGAGTTGACTTCACAGCTTCAATGACAGCTCGTTAGTTTCAGGTCTCGTCCTTCATTTTGTCACGAGCAGCTCGACACGAACAGGAACTGAGCACACACACACACACACCTGTGTGACGGTGTGCGGCTCCTCTGTCTCTGTCTGACCTCACACAGGTGTAAACTGACCGACGGTCGGTCCGTTCTGTGGATAAAAACAAACTCACCTCTTTAGACTGAAGAGTTTCACGTCTCCGGGTCACAGCTGGTCACTTTATCGTCTCCACAAAACTTCTCCTCCTCCTCCTCTTCCTTCACCTCGCGCGTCCTCCTCATTTACTGTGAGCGCACCCGTCACCGCTCCTCCTCTCCAAATATGGCGCAGCCTCTTCCGGGGACGCGCCCTGCTGACTCACCTCCGGAGCTGACGGAAATGACTCACCTGAGCTCGGTGATACTCGGTAGTTTCCGTGTGATGGAGGAGAAAAGAGTTCTGGTTTCATCAGAGAAAAACAGAAAGAGTTGTAAATAGAGGATGATTTTAATTAAGATTACTAAAAATACAAATGTCCAAGTTATATTGTTTAAATTATTGAGATATTTTAATCAAATTTAATTTAATTTAATTTAACATAATTTTACTTATTCAATTTTATAAATCAAATAAATTTGGACTTTTGATCTTTTGACTTTTAAGATGAAATTTCAAAATGAATTGATATTCAGACACTGTAATGAAGTTTAAAAAAGTAAAAAAGAAAAAGAAAAGAAAGTTCTTTACTTAAATACAAGTAAATATTCTGCATTCAAATTCCAACTTAAAAGTAGAAAAGTAAAAAAAAAAAAAAAAAAATCTATTATTAGTACAACAGAGACACAGAGCCAGTAGAATCAGTCGTTAGCTTGACTGACACTGAGGGGACGCAGTGACAGTCAGACTGTGACAGTTAAAGGAAGTGAAGGGACGTCTGAGGACGTCATGTCTGCTCTGTTTGAGGGCAGGTCTGTCTTTCACAGTTAGCCTACGTTGTTTGTTGATCGCTGACATCACTCTTTTGTCTAAATTATAATCTGCTGATCAAAACTGATGAGAAATGATGTCATGAGGAAACTCAGGTCCTTAAAGACACAAATGAAAGTGTAGTTACCTTTCATTTAAATTTTATTCCAAAAAGCTTCACCCATCAAGCTAGCTAACGTAGCTAACGTAGCTAGCTCCTCCCCTGGGCTCACACTTACCTTTGCTGTGCTCCTTCCTTGTTGGTCAGTGATGGAAATACGGAAATCGAAATCAACGCGCAATCGCAACGAACGACGGTTTTGAACGCAAGGTTTGAAATTTGACTCCCACACACACACTCAGCACACACTCCTGTGTGACATACCTCAGGCGGGGTTCGAACCCGCAGGTTGGCAGCTCACTGCGTTGGCGGTCGGCGTCCTTCACCACTGGACCATCTCCGGCGCTGATCAACACAAGGAACCAGAGAGAGATGAAGATCAGACTGAAGCTGCACAAACTTCATCTTCATCAACCTGCAGAGAAACAAAGTTTACAGACTGAAACATGTCCTGGTGTTCTTTAACACTGTTGTACAGGTTCTTTAGGTGGTTCTAGTGTTCCTTTAGGATGTTCCAGTGTGACTGAGGAGGTCACAGAGGTCCTTTGGGAGGTTGTAGAGGTTCTTTAGGTGGTTCTAGTGTTCCTTTAGGATGTTTCGGTGTCACTGAGGAGGTCACAGAGGTCCTTTGGGAGGTTGTAGAGGTTCTTTAGGTGGTTCTAGTGTTCCTTTAGGATGTTTCAGTGTCACTGAGGAGGTCACAGAGGTCCTTTGGGAGGTTGTAGAGGTTCTTTAGGTGGTTCTAGTGTTCCTTTAGGATGTTTCAGTGTCACTGAGGAGGTCACAGAGGTCCTTTGGGAGGTTGTAGAGGTTCTTTAGGTGGTTCTAGTGTTCCTTTAGGATGTTTCAGTGTCACTGAGGAGGTCACAGAGGTCCTTTGGGAGGTTGTAGAGGTTCTTTAGGTGGTTCTAGTGTTCCTTTAGGATGTTTCAGTGTCACTGAGGAGGTCACAGAGGTCCTTTGGGAGGTTGTAGAGGTTCTTTAGGTGGTTCTAGTGTTCCTTTAGGATGTTTCAGTGTGACTGAGGAGGTCACAGAGGTCCTTTGGGAGGTTGTAGAGGTTCTTTAGGTGGTTCTAGTGTTCCTTTAGGATGTTTCAGTGTCACTGAGGAGGTCACAGAGGTCCTTTGGGAGGTTGTAGAGGTTCTTTAGGTGGTTCTAGTGTTCCTTTAGGATGTTTCAGTGTCACTGAGGAGGTCACAGAGGTCCTTTGGGAGGTTGTAGAGGTTCTTTAGGTGGTTCTAGTGTTCCTTTAGGATGTTTCAGTGTCTCTGAGGAGGTCACAAAGGTCTTTTGGGAGGTTGTAGAGGTTCTGTTAGACGTAGTGGTCATTGAGGAGGTTCAACTGGTCTTTGACATGAATGAAAAAGATTCACACTGAAAAGGTGAGAAAGGCAAATTATTATATGTGTGAGACTGAACTAACATCATGTGGTTCCAACAGCTTAGTTGGTAGAGATCATGTTCTATTGTCTGAAGGTTGTGGGTTCAAATCCCACTCCTGCTCTTTGTATATTCCTTGTGTCGACCCTCAGGAGAACGTGTCATCAAGATATATCTTATTGTGAAAGGTCTGGTTCATAAAGACACTCAGAGCTGATCTCAGATCAGACTGATTCATGTCTGTTTCAACACATTCTCAGTTGAGGTGAACATTTAGAGCTGTCTTTAATGTTTGTGAATGTATCAGCCTCTTGAGCCCGAGTGCCCCCAGCACTGGGGGAGGGACCACCCTCACATAATCAAGTGCATCACATCTGATCTGATTCCAGATGTGAACACGGTCTGTCTTCATTTGGATGGTGAGGACAAGGTTTTGTCGTCAGCTGACATCGATGAGTTAAAGCCCCCATCAGTTCCTTTCATGGTCTGTGTCTCCACCTGTTGGCTGGATGTGGTACTACCTTCTTATTGTTACTCTGTCCATTTGTTTCGATTTCATTGAACGGGAACTTGTAAAGAGGTGTGACTGATAAATAAAGCCCAAATCAGTTGTATTTAGATGGAATGGATAACAACAGTAACATGTTGGTGACATTAGGTGAGTTTACAGTCACCTGAGAGGCACAGGCAGAACACAACATGGCCTATTTGGAGATTCTGTCTCAGCCTGCTGAGACTAAAACCTCTCTCAGTTTGCTCTGCTTCACTTTCTTGGCATCAGTCTTGGAAACTTAAATGTTCAGATGTAATGAAATGGTTTGCTACAGGGTTTGAGCTGCACATGCTTCACTCCAGAAGAAAATTCACTCTTCTGAATTCTACCAAGGACCTCTGTTCAGAGAATTTTCAAGGATGCACAGCATGTATGAAGTACCCATGACTCCTTGCCCACGGTTTGCCAGAAGAGAAGAAGAGGACTTTTCAATGAGACACACCTGGACACTTGCTGACCTGTTCCAATATGTGTTCACTGAATGCCAGGAAGGAGTCCGACCTCGCCTCTGTAGGACCCGTCATGGATGGACCTGTCCCACCAAGACAGAATCCTTGACTTTGAAAAGCACCAGCTGTCATGGACGACTGGAACACTGGGTGGAACATAGCCTCAGTAAACACAGTTTGTTTCTCCTGTTTTTCTCCTACTATGAGAAGTCCAAATGTCTGATGTGAAAAAGGACACACTGTCCACAGCAACACTGTCCGTGCAGGAAAACATAGAGTTTAGCAACACATTGCAGGAGTTTGTGCTGATGCATGTTAGATCATATCTGCATCGTCTGAATTAGTAAAGAGTTCAGGATTCTGACACTGAGGGGACGCAGTGACAGTCAGACTGTGACAATTAAAGGAAGTGAAGGGACGTCTGAGGACGTCATGTCTGCTCTGTTTGAGGGCAGGTCTGTCTTTCACAGTTAGCCTACGTTGTTTGTTGATCGCTGACATCACTCTTTTGTCTAAATTATAATCTGCTGATCAAAACTGATGAGAAATGATGTCATGAGGAAACTCAGGTCCTTAAAGACACAAATGAAAGTGTAGTTACCTTTCATTTAAATTTTATTCCAAAAAGCTTCACCCATCAAGCTAGCTAACGTAGCTAACGTAGCTAGCTCCTCCCCTGGGCTCACACTTACCTTTGCTGTGCTCCTTCCTTGTTGGTCAGTGATGGAAATACGGAAATCGAAATCAACGCGCAATCGCAACGAACGACGGTTTTGAACGCAAGGTTTGAAATTTGACTCCCACACACACACTCAGCACACACTCCTGTGTGACATACCTCAGGCGGGGTTCGAACCCGCAGGTTGGCAGCTCACTGCGTTGGCGGTCGGCGTCCTTCACCACTGGACCATCTCCGGCGCTGATCAACACAAGGAACCAGAGAGAGATGAAGATCAGACTGAAGCTGCACAAACTTCATCTTCATCAACCTGCAGAGAAACAAAGTTTACAGACTGAAACATGTCCTGGTGTTCTTTAACACTGTTGTACAGGTTCTTTAGGTGGTTCTAGTGTTCCTTTAGGATGTTCCAGTGT